CAGCTATCTTATTTTCTAAATGCTCAAAGGAACAACAGAAAGCCATAATTTTCTATGGCTTTTAATATTAAGAAAAAAAATAGAGCATGCAAAATAAAAGACTGAACACAATTCATGGAGCTCCAATGGAACTCCAAGCATAGACCGTGTGTTAAATCAGTACGAGGCATGTTACATTTAGATATTGCAGGATCAGATTTTGTGGAAAAGCCTGATACAAAAGCATGACAAATGAACAAGGGCCATATCATGTTGGTTAAGAGAAACTGAAGAACTCCAACTTCAGTGAACAGAAGTCCACAGTCATAGTTAGACTAGTATTTCCAGGCCCTGTGTAGACTGCAAAGGGAAATTCAAGTTAGCAGCTCTCTTTGTGGTTAATTCAACTGCAGTAAAACTATCAAAATACCCATGTAAGCCAGTTTTTGCTAACTAGCCACCACTGCTGACGGACAGATCAAACTGTTTCACAGAGTGCAGCTCAGGACGCCACATTTTAATTGTATGTAAGTGGAGCTGTATTTAAGATGCTGTTTCCATGAAATTCTATTTATATGAAATAGAGAGGCCCCCCTGCAAGTCTGTCTTGCTGCTTCTTCTATGGTTGGTTGTAAAGACACAGCTCCTCTGCCCTGCAGAGGAGGGCATTCACAGTGTGAAATTTCAGAAACCCTGCTAACCTTCCACTCAGCACATAAAAAGTAATCAGCAAATAAAGGAAACTGGCAAGATTTCGTATTGTTACCCAGAAATGGCAACTGAAAAGATTTCTCCCTGAAAGAGAACCCTAAGGAAAAATCCCAAAGAAAATGGCATGTAAAAATCTTACTCACCTATGTGGGCTTAGTCACCTTCTGGAAGGGTTTATTTTCCACCACTAACAAAAGAAAACAGGCTGGCGAGTGAGGTCCTAACTCTGTGTCTCGGTTAAATCGAACAGATTTAACCCAGCGAGCACAGCTTCTTTCGGGGTCCTGGTCACAGTACTTGATGAATGTCTCTGTGGGAATGCAAAACGAGAACTGGAAATAAAAGTGGAAAACTCCTGCCAATATTCCTCCTTCGATTTAAGATTTTTTGGCACGTGCATAAACATAACTGCCAGCTGCAATTTGGTCTCATGTGTGTGACCTGTAGAATATGGCACTGCTTTCATTTGTAATAAAACACATCTGCTGTCCTTCAGCAGTCTGGAAAAGCTGGAAAAGTCTGGAAAATCACCTCCTAAGTGATTTTTCTATGTAATTTGAGCTTACTGAGCCACTTTTCCTGCTAGTGAAAATGGGTGCAACTCCAATGCAGCTGATAGAATTTTCTCACTTAAATCCAGAATGCAGCTCAGTATTTTTCAAATTGAAATAAAGCTGAAGCATGTCATTATTTGAAATGTGTCAATTAAAACAAAAAGAAACTAACAATAGAATTTAAGTGGATAATAAAGGCTACAGATTAAAGCTCTTCTCATAGCATTGCTTGTTATGTTGCATTTTCATTCTAATGTTCACATTAGAGATAAAATCCATATACCTGTGCAAATTCTGCATGGGATAGGATCAACACAGCTTCATAGCAATCTGGGATTCTGGCAAATTTAGAATATTCATTTTCCTATGGTCTCCTCTTCTGCCAGTCCATTTCTTTAACAAGGAGAGGAGCTATTCTGTGGGGTTCCTCCCACTGCAGCAGTTCTCAACACTCAGCAGCTTCTGCTGCTGCCGTTAACATCAGTGTTAAAGCTGCAGTTGACGTCCAAGATCTAAGGTTAAGGTTAATGTTAGAGCTAAGTATAGAATTCCTCCTTCACTTTTCTCCAGGCTGGGAAGAAGCACAGGAAAAAAAAAAAAAAACACACCACCACCACCAGAACATGCAGCTCAGCCCTAAACTCTGACTTCCACATTTCTTGAGGAAAAACCTTATGCAATTAACTTATTTTAAGATTTCAGTTGAACTATAAATATGTCCCAGGGGAGATAAAAGGCTAGGCCAAGGCAGCACGACTGCCACAGAAGAGTTTCTTTATTCTGAATATTTCTCCTCCCACCTTCACTTAGCTTATTTTCAAAAAGGAACATTTTAGGGTGCTTCCTGCTCTGGACTCCTCCAAAGTGTAATGAAGTCATTCAGCCTCTTCCAAAGGACTTTTGACTCGGTTTTTCATGCTGAGAAGGTAATTAATTAGACACATACAATTAGGGAAGTGCATAAAAACAACAAAATATCTTTTCCCATCATCCCCTTGAAAATCATGAAGCAGTTTCAACACACACTCCCTGCACTACTAGTGTCAATGAGAAATTTTAAACAGGGCAAGGAATATCCAGTTAAGGCTGTGACATTTATGAGTTTGATTTGGTTTTATAAGACTATTTTATAAATGTACCTAGGCAAACACAGCAGCTGAGAAGGTTTGTTATATAGTATTGTCTTTGCCCATCACTTGCAGCAGGAGGAAGGGATTGTAGTCTCCCCAAACCACTCCTCCCTGTGGGAATGGATTCTTCTTACTGCTGCCCATCTCCGAACTCCAGCATCTTGCACCTCTTCTGTACCTGGGAAAATACCCAGGCTACCACAATGCTACCATGGGAGAGTCACCTCAGATCCAACACTGTGTGGGACAAACAAACAAAAATAGGAAGATTGAAAGTTAAATATTCACATGAGAAACAAATATTAAAAACAGGATTTTCAAAGACAGCTGAAGGAAATGAAGGCCGTGTTTTCAAGGGAATCCAGGAGAAGTGGAGCCCATCCTCCTGAAGCCCCATGCCCAACCTGTGTAACAGCTGGAAAACACCTCAAAGCCAGGGGTATTCACTCTACTTCGTCTCTGAATTAGTTTGATGCTGAGATAGATTGTAAGAATAAACCTATCAGATCAGCCTTCTCTGCAAATTCATTGTTTTTTTTTTTTTTTTAAATCTATCTTTAAGATTTGAAGTTTGGTCTCAAAGTGGAATACACATGCTTGCATTTGCATTTGTTAGCCATTACGCACATAAACTCATTGAGCCAGGCACATTAGTTAAGTTCTACCAGTGCTAAAAGAGATCGAAAGGCATCAGAAAAGGTCACAATCTTAAGATATCTTGTACTTCCCCTGCCATTACGCATGCTGCTATATTTAGCAGACTGTTTGGCATCCCATAGGAGAACTGCACAGAGGTGACCAGTTGCATCATCCTGCAGAAGAAGCCCCACGTCACGAGCAAGCAGCACAAGAGCAGTCTTTTATGCAAGTATAGCACATTAAAGACCCCCTATGCTTTTAGTCTGTAAACGTCCTTCTCTACGGGGAAAACCAGGCACAATCTCAGCTCTAAGGCCCATCACATCACTTGTGTAGCAGTAAACATAGCTAATCAAGCTAAAATAGTTGAAGCGAGAGCTCCAAGGTGAATCCCTTGGTAAATCCGACCTTCTCAATGTTCTGAGGTATTCTTTCAAGCCTACTGATATTTTTGCTATAAATGCTGCCTTCACTGATGATTTAAAAAATAAAGATGTGGGATTCAAATAAATAAATAAAGGAAAAAAAGAACTTTGATCTGTTCAAAGAACTGATGAGATGTCAAGGGCCTTGATTTACAAAAGCAAGAATGTTTGCATTTGATGTATTATTACCCAAAGATCACACGATCCTTCATATTCTCTTAGAAGGTTGACAAAGATTTAGAAAATGCACAATACATATCAGAATTTAAGAGATGTATCTCAAAAAAAGGTAGTTTTGCTTTACCCTAGTTGTTACAAAACAAGTTTCACTGAGTTTTTATAACTGGTCTCATACATGTGCATTAACCAAATAAAGTATTAAACTAGCTCTATAGCACAAACCAATGAAGCTTAAAATCATACTCATATCTCTAATAGTTGGGTTTAGATTTCATAATTATCAACCTAGAACTGCAGGTGTGTCAAATCATATTTAGTCAGAATACAAGTGAGTGGTTTGCCTACTAGTAGAAAACTTCTGCTGTCAATAAAAGAGCCTAGTTCATACATCAATTTTCAACAGCAACACAGTTATTGATTTCCAGTTAAAATACTTACCGAGATGTGACCAACCAAAAAGGAAAAACATTTGAAGGTTTAGCAAGCAATTTTCCCTAGTGAGTTTTCCACTTACACTTCCAAACAAAGATGGAAAAGAATCTGCAGTATTTTTTTCAGGAATGTTGCAAGAGTCTGAACAGCTAAGACTCTACAAGAGCTTCCTTTCCAAGGAAATAAAAAGAGTCTATTTATACTAAAAATGCAAAAGATAGATAAAATAATAACAATGACAGAAACGTGTTTTTAAAACAGAAAAATAAAACACAATCTTGATCATGTATTTCGTCTGTTAGAAATTTATTGATTTTTCATTGTAACATACTTATGCAATACATTCATATGCAATAACATCAGGTTCTCTGGAGTGTCGTGATCAATGTTTAAGGCTGATATTTTGTATTCATGATGCTCCATACAAAAAATACAGAGTTTTGAACCTTTATATCTGCTGACTAGACCTACTGACCCAGGAAATATTTTCTCAGCCACTGACAAAGCAAAATTTATTGGACTTTGGATTCAGCAATATAGCTGAAGACCAAGTTTTCATCATTCCAGTTCAAAGACAATTTGACTCTTTTCATTACTGGAGGGATGAGTTACCCTCTTGCATGATAATTTTACCAGCATTTATTCCTTGACTGATTGTTCTTGCAGGAGTAAATCCAAAGGCACCTGAATTTAATTACTCACAGAGCCAGACTCTTATAAGTGAGGAATCACACCATTTAAATATATGGCTGAACAGCATTTTAGAGAAAAGTTCATTTCTCATTCTATATTAGAAAAAGACATCTGTGAATTTTATCTTCCTTTGGTAAGATCACCATAGACAAACTATGTTAAATGTCAAAACATTTGAAAAAGTCTGTAGTGCCTAATGTTTTCTTCCCAAATCCAATCTGCATTCATCTCTTCAGCTATTTCAGTTATGATGTGAATTATATCCTGTGACTGTTTTCCACACATTCTAAGTTTGAGATCTGCAAGTTTGGAGTACTAAATTCAGAGCTATTTCCATTGGTAGCATTACGCAAACTAAACAAGGCTAGAGAGTGTAAGAGCACCTCTCTGGCTTTAGATGTTTCTATGTTCTGCTCCTGGGATATCTGAAAGCTTATCTGGTTCAAGTTATTCCTTATGAAACTGCAAGCCAGGAGGTTTGTTACAGAACCACACCTGGCCAGGCTTTCTTCAAAAAATTGTTTATATAGCTCTGCCACTTTTCTTTCCATGTAGTTGTTGAGCACAGAGTTTGAAAGAGGCTCTTCACAGAGTGCCATACTCCTTTCTCCAGTTTCCTCTCCAGGCAGGGACTTTATACCTGTCTTCTCAATATGCTGAGACACAGGGGATTGACCTAGAGGGATATCTGCAGACCGCAGAACGGGGCCACCTTGAAGTTCATCACACACATGGTCCAAAACACAACCTGAATCACACATATGGTCACCCACATGGTCTCCCCCAATATGCAAGTCAGGATAGTTTTGATAAATGCTGTTGCATGACCAGGATTTGTACAAATCCAGCTGCTCACTATTTTGTTCTCTTTGGGGAATATGTAAAGGTGGTGATGTGGTTCCCCCAATATGGATTTTCTGATCTTCTGCAGGTAAGCCCTTCATAGATTTCCAGTGAGGGTTTCTCTTGTGTTCCATTTTGCTAATTTTAGCAATGATCTGGTCCTGCTGCTCATGCCCAGCAGCAAACTCTTTAATTTTTGGATCGTCTACAAGTTCTTCTCTCCAGATTCCCTCCTTAACCTTTTTGGTTGGATGACATTTGTGAGACTTATCTCGAGCAGGGATTTCTTTATATACGAGTCCAGTTAAGACGCCTTCTGCCAACATGATGACAAGTGGTAGAAAGTCTAATCACCAGACTTCCATATAGACCTGTGAGTAAAAGACAGACATGTAAAGTACTTCATGCTTATTTAGGGAAAAAAAAAAAAAAAAAAAAAAACACACTGTGAGGCCTAATGTAAAATCAAAAAAATTCACTTGTTGTCTGCATTTTATCATTATCAGTTGCAAATCATTTTTTTCCATTGAAAGATAAGAAATTATTATCTAGGGCCTGACAGAGCAAGACAGTGAAGCTGGACTTAGAAGCTGATTCTGATCCTATGAAGTGCTGGGGACCTTCAGAAGATATGGATAGTTCTTCATGCCTATGAAAACTGCATCCCAAATGCAGCACTTGAATATTCACATGTACAAGAGTTTTTAAGGGTTCCTCTTAAAAAGGTGATTTAAAAAGACATGAAGAGTTAACTTGGCTTCCCCAACAACAGTTTAACAGCAGACTGTGTATAGTAGCATGCTTTTACCCCAAGGCTCCATAGTTTTATTAAGTGCACATGAATAATTAAAAGCGAGCCTACATGCCTCAAAATCTACTGTGCTTTAGCACTCCTTTCATTTCGTTTTAATTCATCTGCTGTTAAAACCGATGGGAATCTTTCAGGCTAAACACTATGTGCTAAATCCCCTGAAGAACTGCAATGCCCTTTGTACCCTTGCAAGAAATCAACTGAAAACTCTACTCATATCACAGACAGCTAAGGCTGGATTCCCCTCCCCTCTTTTAAGCATAAATTGCATTTCCCCCCCACTGGAGGAATGGAATATGCTTGCAAGTGAGACTAAAGCAGACAGGAAAGGCAGCACACCTTCCTCTGGTCACTTCAGAACTTTTTACTTCATCTAAAGAACCATTGACATATGCAAAAAGTGGGGAAATATTTTCTGAAGCATTTAAGGGACTTAGGAAAGAAAGTGCCATTCTCAAGAGAGACGAGGACACTTTGAAGTATAAATCTTGTTGAATGTCAGTGGAACTAAGAATACTCCATGACTAATTTACTTTTGAAAAACCATATGCATGGACCCAGACCCTTACATGTCTTACCTATATTGCTCTGAAAATGCTCATAGTGCTAAAATAAGAGCCAAAACATGTCAACCTTTAAAAACTATATTCTTTTTAAAATAAAGTAAATGCATTCTGGAACAAAACATAACGAAAAAGAAAAAAAAAGGACATAAAGCCCAGACTTACCAATTCTAAGAGGGTAAAAAAGGTGGATAATCACGTAGCTTAGAATTCTGCTACTAAAACTGCTCTCTCATATAGATTCTCTCATACTCTGTCTTCGTTGTTGTCTGTGTGAACAGTAACTACAGAGCATTTAGTTCCTCATTTGTATTCCTGTTGAAACAGAAGTGGTCCCAGTGGAAAAATGTCTGGTTTTAGAGTACTGAGTGACAACCAATCTAAAAGAGGATGTTAAAAAAGTGAATTGAGATATTTCTGAGTGTGGTGCAATGCTGACAAGTTGCATAACTGCTACTTAATACATAGTTTAAAAGCAACAAAAATTACTAAATGATCCAGATGTCTGTACTTCACCAGGCTGTTCAAAATAGAAACTGAATTCCACTGAATACTTCCATCTATATTAAAGTTCACTTTTGATATTACCATCCACCTGACTTAAAGAGGCAATGTTATTTATAACATTTCCCCTTTTGAAAAAAAAATGCAAAATTGCTAATCTTGTGACCTTCTTCTACTGGGAAACAAATTGACATTATGTCCTCATCAGAATACAATGAAAACTTATTTCTCTATAAAGAATAAATATAAGAATCTGTCTCTCTACAGGTAGTAGTATCAAGCAACTGAAAATAGTCTCTGCTCACTGATCCAAGCCACCTTGCCGGGGCTCAAAAATTATCCATCTCTCAAATGTCTATCACAGGTGCTTCCATGTGTTTTTTCCATGTTTCCTTACTTTAACCTGTAGCACAAATACAACCTGCTCAGCCCCCTGCTCTGAATTTTTTGTCATATCCCTTATAGTTAAAGATCATTGAGTCATGGGCAACAGGTAGCTCCCGGCCAGCCTTGATGCACAACTCAAATGCTTGATTCAACTTCTTTTTTTCATGCATTCCAGGTATCTTAAGAAAGAAGAGTCTGCAGCTCCTTCAGGAGGTTGCACAGCAGCTGTTTCTCCCAATTGTTTCATGTGTTTCACTGTCCAACACTGCTGTAGCAATGTATATAAATATTACAAGATTCCTGGCAGAATATACGACAGCATGAGGAAAAGCACAACGGAGATTTATGGAAGATAGAGCTAGAAGAGATAGAGCTATAACATGGAAGTAGATTATAATCTCCTTTAACATTGAAGTGTTCTGTGAGTTTAGATCTATAATTTTGCAAAACTAATGTTATAAGATCTGTACCTTTCACTCAATGCACAAAAATGCTGCCCCCAAAATACAGTCTGTCACTTCACAGGGGCTAAGCCAGAGCTCGGGCATGGAGCCACCCTACAGTCCCAAGGACTAGGCCAAAAGCAGGTCCACAGAATTTGTTAAATTTCCCTCTTCTCAGAAGGAAAATAAGTAAACAAATAAAAATCACAAGTTGGTTCTCACCAATCAACTACCCTTAAGTTCTTAAATAGACACTGCTTAGCATAGTGGTAGAAGTGGGAAAAAAAATAACAAAACTCCAGAGTAAAGACAGCAACACAGCCATATCTCGGTTGCAACTCATCATTCAACATGTTTTGCCAGCAAAATTCTGACTGCACCTTAGCTACATGAGTTCAGTTTTCACAGGGTAGATTTGCTGATTTGTGTGCAACCTGGGCAGTGCTCTTGCCCCCTGCCTTGACAGGGGCAACCGCACAGGAAACGGGGGGACTCCAGTTCCTTCTAACCTCGCCTCCTTCACCAGGTTTATAATTAGCACCAGCTGTAGTTGTATTTTTCATGAAGCAATTTCAACAAAACACCAAAGCAGCAGAGAGGAGAATTTAAAAAATAAAATAAAATAAATAAAAGTTAGGTAAATTAGTCATTCGAGTGATTAAAAACAAGTCACATTTCATTTCAGTTGTACTTATCTGACGAATAGCTTAGATTCACAAAAATAAAATAAGAACAAGACTGGCACCTCAGTTACTTCAAAGTTTGAATATAGATTACAGTTGGAAGAACAGAGCCAGCAAGACAAGGACGTCTGAATCCTCCAGCTAACCTTAAAGCAGAATATCTATAATGACAAATGATACTTGACTGTATCATTCATATATGAGAAAGTAAAACATAGCAGCAATACTGCAGAAATTAATACTGCAGAAATGTAAATAAGTACCTTATTTCAGCTCAAACTAGGTATTTTATAGGCATATAAAGATGAAATAGAAGTTAACTACATTAAATAATATTTTGCAAGTATAGTTATTGCAATTTTTTGTTTTCCATTTAAACTAGCAGTACTTTGTTTTAACCACCTGGCTTCTTTGAGGCTCAGGAACATGTTTGCGCAGCAGCTCTTCATTTATCTAAACACAGTTTCTTTTTTTTTTTTTTTTTTTTTTTTTTTTTTTTTTTTTTTAATTTCTCTTGTGATTACCTATTCTATGTGATAAAAGAGTCACGTTATCAACACTTATCTACAAATAAAAAGCAGTCCAAAAAATCTGATCTTTCTCTTATCAAATCTCACTCCTGTTAAGTACTAGCATGCAAGCAGGAAAAAAGGACCCGGTTAAAAGCAGTTATTCCTTCTATCCCTACAACCTGGGTTTGTATTTGTGGGGTTCCCCATGGGGTGAAGACAAAGAGCCTCAGCCAAATCCTTCTGCCCGCCTGCAGCTTCTGCTCAAGCCATGCACACACTGCAGTAGCCCCAGCACAGAATGTATATTTAAAACAAAAGGTAAGCGCTGTATTTCTGCAAGCACAGTGTGTCGGGACTGACGCTGGTGACCGGCGCCATCCCCAGCCCGCGGCACCGCGTCCCTCTCGTGCCACCTGCCGATCACCCCGCTCCGCCGGAGGCTCCTCCATCTTCGCAGGCCAAAGCAGCGGATTAATGGGGTTTCTATCCGCTACAGAGCTGTAGTTTCTAGAGAGAATAGATTTCTTCATTGGGAAATAGAAATTCAGCACTGATAACATGAAGAAAAAAAAATGCTAACAAGTGCTCTTAGCAATTTCTCTCTACTTGGGATTGAAACTGCCAAATGGCCGCTAACTCACATGGCTGCACACACCACACACACTGGGCTTTTTGCAGCTTAAATACACTCAATTACTCGGGATGCCCAAGAGCTTTTGCTACCACAGAATCCCATTTTACCACACAGCAAACAGTAACAGGCACAGAGAAGAACCAAGCTTGGAGCGGTTACGGGGCTCACCAAGGAGACCACAACCAGCCAGGTCTCCACCTGCAGCTGGAAAAGGACCGAGACTCGTTAGTCACTCGTGTCTTCGGGCGCACAACCTCCCTGGAGCGCTGAAGGTGCAGCCAGCGGGGGCCTCACAGGGCGCCCGGCGGGAGCCGCGGGTGGAGGAAACCCGAGTGGGCGCAGCCGCCCGGCAGCCCCGGAGAGGCGGCACTGCGCCACGTTCCCAAAGCCGGGAAGGGCAGCGCGGCCAGAGCCCGCGGGGAGGCGCCTGACGGGAGGAACCGCGGCCGCGCTCAGCGCGCAGCAG